CTTTGCTGCAGCACAGAGAGGCGATTGCACGCAACTGATGATGAATGCAATCCTATTAACTGGGAGTAGCTTGATATGAAGATAATTTTTGAAAGAATTATTTACCTGGATACATTTCAGAGTCCACGCCCATGCATCATCCATTTCGCTATCTGGTATTAGTGCACGAAGATTCTGCTTTGCTGTACGATCAAGTCCTTTGCTCGGGCTGAGACGTGTCTGATTAAAAGATGGCGTAGCTGGACCACTAAAAAAGAAACATGAAAAACTGAAAGTAATACGGCCAACTAAGCTTTAAAGACCTGCTGCCACCAGTCGGTATTTCGGGACTGGCGTGTGAAGCGGAACGAGCGGACATTGGAGAATCAAGGCCAGAATCTGCAGAAGGAGGACGATGTTTCGGACTCGAATGAGGCTCCACTAGTGTTTTTTCTTCAGTGTAGCGGCGAGAATACTTGAGTATAAAATCCACCAATGGATCAGGTAATTCCGAAGAATCCAGTAAATTAGACAGCTCTGCAAAATAAATTTACAAAAAACATCATCATTTTAACAACCTCTTAGAGCTAACCATCTTTGTTGAGAGTGTGGTCTGTTGACGAATTTCTCTGCGGTGATTTCTGAACTGGAGAGCTGGAATGGTAGCCATGGTCTAGCCCGGCCGAGTCCGGTGACGACGATGAAGAAAAATATCTACAAGGTGAACGATGTAAAGTAAGCAAGTTGAAGTAAAAGTAGAAAAATCAATACCCAAACGCTTCCGGGCTATCTGTCCATGCGCTTCCATATTCGTATCCATTTCCATAGAAGGAGAAAGATGAGTAGTCATGAACTGCGCTTTGTACTGCAGTTCCATATTGGATTGGACCTGCGTACATTTCTTATTAGGTCGGCAATCACTTAAGGTTCTACAAAAATCATAACAAAACATTTTGTGTGATGATGGTTTTCTACATCTACACTGCGCCTCAGGTATAATTCCACCCAGACTTCCCGGAAACTTGGATAACAATGTTTTCGAAAAATCTCCAAAGAGAAGATGTGAGCAGACGCGGTATTAAATCAATGCGTAACATTTCTGACTCCTCTAATGGACCGCTGTCATCTCTCTCGGACACTTAAAGTCACGGGCCGGGATTAGGTCCCAAAGAGCCAGTTCCTTCTAGTAGTGAGGAAGGGAGGTTCCCAAGGGCAGAGGCACGACACTGTCGCGACTCAAAAGTGCGAGGCAATGGCGCTAAGGCCTTGCCTTGTGTGCTGCCGTGCTGCCATCCTTATCAACCACGGCATACGTGGTCTCTGCGCCCTCTCGCGTACGACGTACTATCTCGCGTTTTCCCTCTCCTCGCAGCGCTGTGTCTCTCCGTCATACCACGGCCTCGAAAGGGAAATTTAGTGTTTTGTAACTC